GGGCAACGCGGTTCATTGAGGCTTTGGGGGCTTCCTCTCATAAAGTTATTGTCCCTCGTAAATTGTTGTGGAGAGGTCGTCTGCTGATAGCTGGCGCGTGAAGACCCGAGGGACCGCAGACAACATCACAGAATCGGGACAACGACAGGGGGGCTTGTTTTCTATGAATTTTAGTGTCCGATATTCTCCGTTACACAACATCATTATTGGAGATTTTTGGGAAGCATCATCATCATCTTGATCATGATCATGATCATGATCATGATCATGACCATCATCATCATCATCATCATCATCATCATCATCATCATCATCATCATCATCATCTTCATCATTGTAAGCAAGATAATTTTAAAAAATGAATTCCACCGAATCAGACAACATCATAGTCGTTGAGGCAAATAGTATTAATACCAGGTGATATGGTCGGGAGAATTGGGGCAGAGTGGTAGTTTTTTTTTGTTCTGATTCATTGCCCACTGATTTGCATTTGGTGATCCAGGAATGGATACTTACTTACTTACTTTCTACCCGTTACGCCATCTGGCGTTTAGGGCAGCAACAAAGGATCTCCAGCTCTGTCTGTTTTGGGCCATCTTTGTCAACGTCCCCCACGAATGGTTCCAGGACTTCATTTCTTCACACTCTGCTGTGCGTCTCCAGGTCACTTTGCGTCTGCCCCTCTTGCGATGTCCACCGGGAATGGATGTGGAAACAAATCCCGTTGGGTCAAACTGACACCAACTTGGGGAGATCTTGACCGTAATACTACGCACGTGTATTATTATTATAATGCCCAAGCAGCGCTGAGTTGCTATCTTTAGGCTGGTAATAATAATAGATAGCATTAGTATAGCGCAAATCCCCGCTCAACAGCAAGCTCTAAGCGCTTCACAATCTATACTATTACCCAAGCAGACACGAGAGCATTCTGAACCAACCTCAACTTCCTGGGAAGCATACAGTGCAAGCAGCCAATTATAGGTGCTAAAACACTAACATACTGACAATATCTTTCGCTGTCTATGGCCGGGTACCCATTCTCACCTGGGTGAAGTGAGGAAAATTCGTGTAAAGTGCCTTTCCCAAGGACACAACGTCGGGCCCGCGGCTCGAACCCTCGAACTCGCATCCTCACGATTTTTTGTCCGGTAGCCTAACCACTAGGTACACCTCAGTTGGTTTAAATTACGCTGGGATATAGTGTGGGTGATCCTGATTCGAATCTCCATTGTGGTGTCCTTGACCCTGGGTCACTTCAGGAGTTTTCAAGGCACTCAGCACATTTGGCTCTATCGTACAGGGAAGAACATTAAATTAGGAGGTCCTGCTTCTTAAAACTCTTAGCATACGACACGCCAGTTCAACTGGCTCATAACATCACTCTGTTGGTTACAGTTGTAACAAAAGCCTACCAAACCACAGCAAATCCTTATCATTTGTAAGCAAACCGCATGTTTGCTGCTTGGCTCATTCGTTTCTACTCAGTTTTGCGTTTTATTTTATGCGAATAGGTTAAACAGGAGAGGAGTTGTAGGGAAATTTGTGATGTTCGAAATTTGAATGACAAAATTGGCTGTGTACAACGGAGGTATAGCCTTCCATATTCTAAGAATGAACTCCTTTTTTTTTGGGGGGGG